TATTTTGGATTTAGGGACCACTAGACTTTTATTCTAATTAATTCTTGACCCAATGTACAAAAACAACCTGGATAGCTATGTAAGAGGAGCCCCTGAAAAGATGGGACTATTCTTTACAGAATACCTGTTCATTTTGCAATGAGGAAACCATGCTGAATGGTTCTGAACTGAAATATCTGACCCTGATTTCAGACCTCACCTTTACTCCTTCTATGCTGCACTTTTCTCCTACTGTTTTGTTTCCAGAAACGAAGCTGATGTTGCCCTGTTCACTAGTCCAGACATAAAGCTACTACACAGTGAGGGCATCCAATGGGCACTGTTGAGAAGAGGCAATGAAGTGGGAGAGCCCTGGACTAGGAGCCAGGAGACCCAGGTTCTAGGGCCAAATAGCTGTGTGGTCTTGGAGATGCCACTCAACTTTTCTGGGCCAAAGTTTCAACACCAAAATTCTATGATTCTTCTAAAATAACCTTCATTGGTAGGTAGGAATTTTGAATTCAACTTCACTGTTGACTCTACAAGCAAAGGCTGGGCCTCAGTTTCCTTAGGGGAAGTTGGAAATATCTAGCATCATTAGATGAAAGGTACTAGAGAAATAGAAAAGTGCTATCTTCCAAACATCCTTCTCCCAGTGGTCCTCGGAAGGCTGTGCAGGCCAGAGTGGAGAGAAGAGTTGGAGGGATTGCCATTGCCTGAGTGGGCACAGAACGTTAGACTATTTTCCAGGGTTTTGCAGGAGGGGCAGCATTGGCTTTGGGGCTGGACAAATCTTCCTTGTACGGGTCTGTCCTGTGTATTGCAGGAGAGTCAGCATCCCTGAAGCTTGTCCACTAAGATGCCCACACATACTTCCATATGCCCTACAGGGGACAAAGGAACTCCTATTTGGGAACCATTGCTAGTTGACGCCCTCATTTTATAGTCAAAGAGAGATTCAGAGGGGTTCGGTGACCTTGCCCAAGGTCACCCTTGCTCTGGTGACAAAGCTGGGACTAGATGCAAGTCTCGTGATTCCTGGCTAAGTTTTCTCTCTGTAAGCTTTGATAAGACCTAAATAGAATCACTGTTCTGGATCAACCAGACCAGTGGACTCCAAGGCACAGTGGTGGTACATCTCCCTGTGTGAGCAAGACAATCTACTGAGATGCTCAAAGAAAACGTAATCACTTTCTATTTCTGTTTTATCTCCTTCTCTAAAATTCTGTGAGATTTTATAATGCACATATTAGTAGAGTAGCATACGTATAATTTATAAATACATAAATATACATATATTGGCACGTGTTCAAATATTTTTTAACTGATAATACGCATGATCAAAAAATGTGGAGACCACCAGTTTAAACATCTGTGTTTCTATTTCTAACTCCAAAAAATTATCAAATTGCCCTGATTTGCTTCATTATTTATTTTTCCAGGATGAAAACTCCAGGTTATTCTTCTAAGAAAAAGATAAGTGTTGAGGCAGCCCTGATGGCCTGGTGGTTAACATTTGGTGTGCTCTGCTTCGGCTGCCCGGGTTGGAGTCCTGGGTGTGGAACCACACCACCTATCTGTCAGTTGTCATGCTGTGGTGGCAGCTCACATAAAAGGACTAGAAGGACCTACAACTAGAATATACAACTATGTACTGGGGCTTTGGGGAGGGGACCAAAAAAGAGAGAGAGAGAGAGGAAGAGTGGCAACTTAAAAAATGAAGGTAAGTGTCAAATGCTAACCAAATCAGAAGCCTTGATATCAGCAGATTATCAGAGAATTCATCTGAAGTCCACATAATTAGCCAGGTTATTTTGGTCATTTCATCATTTAAGTCAGACTAACCATTTATCAACCCAATCTTCTGTTTGGTATTCAATCCAGAAAGCCAATCAACCAGTTTTAGGTGAGCCGGTCCTGTCTCAGTGAGAAGGTCTGGAATGGTTAGAGGAAGGAAAGAAAGGAGAAGGAAAAAGGAGGTAGTGGAACCACCCCCACAGTGGTGCTCACTGGTTTAAATATTTTCTCTCCTTTTCCATCTTTTTCACCTAGTCTTGGAACAGAGCTTAAATTACTTCAACCTTTAAAAATGTTCCTCTTAACCTTACTCTGCCTTGTGAGATGAAGCAGTGCATACAAGAATAAAAGCAGATTCTTTCTAAAAGATTAAAAATTCACTGGGAATGCTCTGCAGGCCCTGCTTACACTCTAACTAAGCACTCTCCATTGGGCCTTAATCAGTATGAGGGAGATGCAGAAAAATCAACATTTTGATGAAAAGAGATCCCCTGAATCCTGGGCCAGGGCAAGGGTTTAACTTTTCTAAAGCATACTTACAAAAATCATGTGATGATCAGATTGTCCTTGGAGAAAAAACAAAACAGCATGAAAAAGAAAGGAGAAGTTGTAGGACTAAATGAACCCAAAGAGTAGCTGCCCTTCCGCCATGTACAGCCAAGGGCAGCAAACACACAGCTTCCTGATATGAAGTCTATTGACCACTCACTCAGCTCTTGTTGTGCCAGGCGTGGTGCTGAGGGCTCCACGAGCACGAGCTCGTTTAATGCTCACAGGAGCCTCATGCTATGGGATGACAGGATATAGCACAGAGGTACCCAAACTTTCTCTGTTCATGGCACATTTAGTGTCTCATAATATTTTTATAGCACCTCTAATCCGAAATAAATGCCTCACAGTTCCATTTACTCAGTAGTTACAGCCCAATGACCTGGTAGAAGCAGTTCACATCAATGTTGCTGCTTCCATTGAGAAGTTCAATTATTCCATAGTGGCCCTGTGAGTTTGCTACGGAGCCCTGGAACACCCTAGGACACAGGTTGGGAACCACAGATATATTACCCAGGATATAGATACCATTCCAATCCCTGTTCCGTCGATGGAGGAGCTGAGACCCAGTAAGGTTACCCAGCTGGTTTGTTGTAATACAGGAATCTGAATGCGAGTCATCTGAATCCAGAGCCCACTCTGCTATACCAGACCCTTCCCTCCCCTCTTCCTGAATCACAGCTTTATGTCTTAGTCGTTATTTCCTCTCTCCATTCTGTGTATTCTGCGCCTCCCCAACCCTCCACCCCCAGCCTTAACACACGGGCAGGTACACATGCATGCTCATTCCCTTGGTTCAAACCATTCCTTTCCATTTGAATGCCCCTCCCTCTCCTCTGCCTTTCCAGAAACGGCTCCCACTTCAATTCTCAGCCCCAAATTTTACCTGTTTACCACTTGTTCCTACACTAATCTCTCCTTCTTCAAAACCTCAGTCTGTCTATTAAGTGGCATGTTAATGACATCTAGTCTTATGTTGCTCTCTAATTGCTTTATTAGTATAAATGTGGTTTTCCCAATAAGACTGAAAGCTGCCCAAAACAGTGACTGTGTGATATCTTGGGCTGGGTAAAAGTTTGTTGAAATCAGCAAGGTGATCAAATGCTACACTTTGATAGCATACTCTAATGCCTGGATGTAATCAACAGAGAGAGTATTTTAACATAAGGTCAGTGATCATCAGCAATGATAACTAATGTCTATGTGGCTTCTTTACATTTTACCAAAGGCTTTTACATACACAGTTTTATTTGTCATTCACAACAGTGTAATTATTATACCCCTGTCATGGAGAAAGGTGAGTCGTAAGTGACTGTGGCCAAAGTTACCCAACCTGCAAGAGGAGCAAGGAGGTCTGGAAGCCGAGGGTGCCTGTGTCCCTCCCGGCCCTCTGCTTCACGACTGCACTGCCATTGCCTTCCCAAGGATACCAGCATCTGGCCCGGGTTCACGTGGCGGGGCAGGATCCTGAGTTCAGAGGCACTGTCCAGACTCCAAGATACCTGTCACCAGCACTGTGCCCTCTGCCCAGACTGTGCTCCAGTCAGAGCGGTGAGCCACACTCGCTGCAGGACAAGAGGCTGGGCAGCTGGGGACACTGCTAGGGATGATGCTGGCCCCCCTGGTGGGGTCCAGGGGCTTGTTGAGAATTCCAGCGCTGTCAAGGGGCGGCAGAACCTCAACCAGTGGTTTCCTAGCCAGAGCACAGCTCAGAAGTCAGTCTGCCCTGGATTACAGTCAAGTCTGTTACTTGCTAATGTATGATTTGATGAAAGCTGCTTCACCTCTCTGAGCCTCAGCATCCTTGTCAGTAAAATGAGGTTGTAGGATAGTTATGAAGATTAAACGAAAAAACAGATGTAGAGCATGAGGGAGCGTGCCTGGCAGGTAACACTCAGTAAGTGATGGCTGCTTATCACGGATGACAAATAGGTTCACACTATGTGCTGCACCCAGCAGAGACTTATTAAACAGGAGTTAGAAACATTACCACCACCACCACCATTACAGCGGTATTCTAGGCACTGGTGTTAACTCCTTGTAGAGCATTTCAAAAGGCTCTGGGCTGTAGAATGGGGAAGGAGGAGGAAAGTGAAAGAAAAGAAAACAGAACACGCCTAAGGCAGAACAATTCACCCCGAGCCCTCGAGAGGAAACGGAAAAGAAACAGACGAAGAGCCAACAACTTAGTAGAAGGATAGGGTGCCCAGCTTGAGAAGAAAAATAAACAACTTGGACCGTTTGAATACACACTGAAAATTACATCATTTTCTTCTGCCTTGTGTCTTCTGGTAGTTGGGAAGATACAAATATGTCATATTTATTTACAAAGCTTTACTGGGATTTCAAAAAAATCAGAACTGAATTTTACAACAACAACAAAAAAAAGGGAGGGGGAACCCTGTGAGGTGGCTGTTTTCTCCTGTGATTAATGGGGTGGGCTGAGTCCAGGGTGGAAGAGCTTTCTTCACACGCCTGCCATTCTAGGAGACACAGATGCATGTGATGAGGTAACGTACATGAAAGACATTTATACATCCCAGAGGACTATACAAACATTAGTTATTACATATACAGTGGTGCACACACACAGCAAATTAGAAATCCTTCTGATATTGCTGAAATGCCAAGCACCCCTGCGCTTTTGAGGGTGCTGCAGGGGTGGAGATACTCACAGTGGTCGGGGTGTCCTGGCTGAGCAGCACACTCTGCGACCGCTCCTGCAGGGACTTATCTATGCCAACCTCAGAGTAGAAGACCTGGAAAAGATGTAGACATCCAGGGTGAGGGCAGAGTCAGTATTTCTCTACCAGATCAACGGGCCTGCGGTTCTAATGGCACGCACAGCCACAGTGGGTTCTGAAGTGCATTGCTTCACCTCACACATGCTTGTTCCGTGGCAACAAACATCAGAAATACCCGGCTGGGGTCTCAAACTCAGAAGCCTGCAGAGGCCAGGAGGAAGGCGCATATCAATGAGGTGGGATGGAGGGGGCATGACTCTCTCAGACAATCTTTCATTTTCCCACTTTTGATACAACATGAGTCCAGAAATACGTTTCTCAGTTTTAAGAAGACAATAGGACCAGGGCCATGATAAATGGCTACTCTCCCTTGGTGAAAGGGACACAGTAGGGGTTGGTGGGTCTGGGGTGTTATGGTGGGCGGGGGGAGGGCTAAGGTCCCATGTAAAGTGAGCAGCTTGGCTCCAGCAGATTTGGTGCCCCTTAGGAAGGTGGGCCCAGCTCTCCTGATCTTCCCAGAGGGTTCAGAACTCCAAATATTTCTCTGAAATCTCCTGACTTTGAAAATTGACACTTTTAAAAACACTGTTAAAGAAAACATTTTGGTGAACAGAAATCAGTCCAGCTCCGTCCTCCACTTTGCCTGTTCACACTTTTACTTTAATTCAGATTTTATATTTTGTACTTATTGGCACCCTTTCACGGTGACTCCCTATTCTTTCCCATTTTTCTGCTTTAGTCTCCAAATTTGACGGTGGGCAATTCGATAGCAGGAACCACGTCTCCTACTCAGTTTATGTTTTCGCATCCCTGAACAGTACAAGGACGCAGTAGATCTTAATTGACCTTCAGGGCACTTACAACGGCCTTCAAAGAGAAATATTCCCTCTGGTTTCATTGGGGGAGAACGGGGCAGTCACTAATGTGGGAGGGCTGATAAGGAGGCCATATATACGAGGAGCACAGATGGGAAGGGCATACAGTTACCCCAACAAGCCCTCTACAGAAACCCCGGTGCTCAGGTACTCACAGTATACCCAATGATGGGGCTCCCCGGATGCCTTGGCACCTTCCACTGGATGCTGAAAGCTGTGCAGTTCAGTGCGCTCAGCACGATATCAAGAGGAGGCCCCACCTTGCCTGTTTTGTTTTTGCCAAAACAAAAGAGATTGTGTTAGAAGCTCCATGCATCTCACCCTGGGTATACTCACACAAGATATACAAGAGTGCACTTATGGGTGGAGAGCTTACTTAAAGCTGCTTCCAAAGGCCAGGAATGCAGCCATCTCTCTGGTATGCCACACCTGCGTCAGCTGACTTCACCAGAACCCTGCTATCCCCTCCCAACCCGGCACTGGCAGGGACATCGGCCCAGCTGTTGCTCTCAGTCCCTTCTGTAACTTCTCATATCTCAGGACCAGCAAAGGGAGACGCAGGCGAGCATAGATCAGACATTTCTGACTCGGCTCTAGGAGCTCGGAACGTATTGAAGCACAATGATAGGATTTCTTTTTAACTCAGTAACATATGTGTGTTTTATATGTATGTTAGATAGATATGTCTGTTAATATAGCTAGTGTATTCTTATTGAAGGACATTTCAAAAATATGGTTAACTGTAAAATGGGGTTAGGAAATTTCAAATGTTTTATTGTATCCTTCCTTAAATAATTTTGTGGTTACAAATGTTTTGTGTATAAAAATAATATATGCAAATTGCCAAAATTTAGAAAATACAAAAAATAATAACTATAACTCTACCATTCGGAAATTAGTCATGCCAATATTCTAGTATAGTAGAGCTCCTTTTAATCACATGCAATTTTTTAAAGCTATATATATATATAAAATATATATTTAAAGATACATAAGTATATATAAAGATATATATATAAACATATATTTTTTTTTTCTTGAGGACAATTTCCCTGAGCTAACATCCATGCCCATCTTCCTCTACTTTATATGTGGGATGCCTGGCACAGCACGGCTTGATAAGCAGTGCATAGGTCTGCACCTGGGATCTGAACCAGCGAACCCAAGGCTGCCAAAGCGGAGTGTGTGAACTTAACTGCTGTGCCAGTGGGCCAGCTCCTAAATATATATATTTTTAAATATAAAGACATAAAAGACGCAAATTATATACTGCATATATAATTTTTATTTTTCTTTTGTGTTCATTACGTATAATATACATTCATAATTTTTAAATCAATTTTAAATTCATAATTTTAAATTAGTATATGTAATATATATACTGATAATATAAATTTACTGATTAAAATCATTATTTTTCATGGCTGTTAGCTCTTCCATATAATGCATGTGCCATCATTTAAAGATGTCTCATTCTATTATTGTTAGACATGCAATTCATTTCCAATATTTTGCTGTTTTAAATAATGCTCCATGCAGGCAGGAGCTAGGTGTGTCCTACTCTGAGCACAGAGCCTAGTAAATGGAAACGCTCAATAAATATTCCTTAGGTGAGTGAATGCTCTGCAATTTGATTTTCTACTTGCTAATATGTCCTGAGGGTCTTTCTTTTTAAGACTGCGTATAATTCTCCAGCATAGCTATTAGGAAGCTTTGCTTGCAATTCACAGAGATCTAACATGTCTATTTATTGGACTGCTGCTGGGACCTCCCATCAGTGTTTTCAACAACAGAACCCACGCCCTTTCTGCTGGGCCAAGTAATAGAGCCTCAGTGCTGTCACTTGGCAAGAACTGTGAGGCCAGAAGTCAGCTGCCACCTGCCCCATAGACACTACCACTGCCACCACTGTCACCACTCAAGGATTTGACCCTAAACTATTCTGTGGTTCTGCCTTGGTCCAAGATTTCAAGTCTCATCTGATTGGCCAAACTTATGTCATGTCACTCTCCCTTGGCTCAACCAAGGGGTCGAAGAGGAAAGATCAATCATTTTTAGTTTCCAAACTGGGAACTAACAGGATGAAGGGAGTCCTGGGAATTGTTCTTCTATCAAGACTATTCACAGTACAGAAGTGTCCCCAAAGGAGGATAGGACCATAGGAAAGAGTAGTGGGAGGTGGGATGGCCAGATACTCTGCTACACAGAGCGTGCATGCACATTAACCGTTACTCCATTGATTGACATTTAGGTTGTTTCCAAAATCTCACTGATAAAAATAATGCTGAGAAGAACATCTGTGTATATGCTTTTTTGATAGGATGGATATCTATTTAAAATCATAGGTATATGCATTTTAACTTTTAATAGCTACTCATTTATTGCTCTCTAAAAAAGGTTAAATGAATGAATCTTTAAGTACATTCAATTATTTCATTTGGGTAAACTCTTGAAGCAGAATTCCTATAGTTAAGACAGAGGTTCTCAGTCTCCACAATATTGACATTTGGAGCCAGATAACTTTTTGTGGGGGCTGTCCTGTGCCTTGCAGGATGTAGAGCAGCATCCTTGGTCTCTACCCACCAGACGCCAGTAGTACCTAGTTATGAAAACTGACAATATCTCCAGACATTGCCAAATGTCCCCTGGGGGACAAAACTGCCCCCAGTTGAAAATCATTGATGAATTAATATTTTAAAGACTGTTTATAAATATAACCAAACTTAATCTAGAAAATTAATCAATTTAGAAGCCTATGGAGAATGCCCAGCATAAATAACACATCCTCACTAGATCTGAGTATTACTTAAAAATCCTTGCTAATTTGATAAGAAAAAAATTGAGTATTTTAATATCTTTCTTGGCTATTTTTCTTCCTCTGTGTTTTGCACATTTTTCAACTGGGTTGTTAATTTTCTCATTGATTTAAAAGAACTCTTAATATATTAAAGATCTGAAGCATTAGCCTATATTTTCTCTATGTAGTTTTAAGTTTGGGCCCGCTGTATAATTACCCGCTATTGGCCAGCTTTTTTGCTGAGTTAAGAGGTCTATGATAAAATCTCAGGAGGGTAGGGAACAGGGGGAAAGATAGTGGAAATGATTTATGAGACCCTCACAGAACCACAGAATAACCAGTAAGCACAACCTCATCGTATGTTCTAGGAATAGCACTTACTCCCTTTACTTTGGGAAAAATTACAACTGAACAAGGCAGGCTACTTGAGTCAACAATCAGAGAACTGGTCCTTGTATTCCTTGTGTATCCATCATGGTTCAGTACAGAAAACAGAGAACACCAGGTATTTTAAGCAGAAAAGTGGTTGTAAAATTTGTAGAAAGGCCAGTGGAAAAGCATTCAGGAGTCTCCATTGGCATCTATTTTATAGATGATAAGCAGATCAATAGATTGATAGATACATAGATGATAGAGAGAGAGAGATGACAGGTGGATAGCTAGCTAGCTATAGTTGTGATTCAGACTCAGGAAGCCTCTTCCTTCACACTTGGTCCTTCTATTACTGCTGCTAGCTATAGCCTCCAGACACCCACTAAGGTAGTGATGAACCTTGGAATGATGCGTCCTCACATTTTGATGGCCTTGTTTGGTGGGAGAAACAACAGCAGGAAAGTGGCCTCCCTCTCACAACCGTCTTCCATACCTCCCAAGAGTGCATCTAATTGGTGGGACCTAATTTACATCCAGAATACTGGCTGTGAGGCAGTCTGGGAAGTGTAGTTTTTATTTTTCCAGTCTTTGCATTACAGAAATGGCACCTAGAAGGAGGGTGAAATGGATGTTGAGCAAGCCAATCTATAGTATCCATGGCATCTTGGTACCATAAAAAGCATGAATTCCAATATGCTATCCCCTTTCCTTTCATATTCTCTAGGAAAGTATTCAAATCGAGCTCTGTTGGGACATAGTTAGGTATGACTTCTATTTTATTTGCATTAGCATTCATTCATTCAAACTTTCGCACACCTAATAAATACATATCGAGCTCCTATATGTATCAGGCACTGAACTAGTTGGTGAGGCTGCATTAATGATGAAGAGATACAGGGTGCCACAAACAGTTGGCAGGACATTAAAATTGAGTGCGAGAAGAATAAAGGGAAGATGGGGCACTTTGATGGCACATAGCTAGGACATACCTGGCTCCACCTGACAGACTAGCAAAAATGAGGCAAAGTGGGGGTGGGAAAAAGAGTCCCAAGCAGAGGGAGCAGCATACACTCTTCCCAAAGAGAAGAAGGAAGAACCACATGCCAGAACCACGAGGGCACCGGTTGAGTGGATGTGGGTGGTGAAGGAAAAGAAAAAGTCAAGATGGCTCCAAGGATTCTGCCTTGGGCAACACAGGGAAGGGGGTGGGTGCACTCACTCATCTGGAAAGACAAAGACAGCCTTTACTGCCCATGAGTAGGTGTCATCTGCAGCTGGTGAGCATGAGGTAGCCAGGTCAGACATCTGGGCCAAATACCAAAAATATTCCAGACGAATCAAATGGTTAAAAACAAGAAACCAAATTAAAGGAAAGAATAGAATTTTAAAATCAGATTTTTTGAGCTTTCTAAGCTTAAAAGAGGTAAAAAATAAATCAATCAAAGGAGAAGCGATGGATTCCACATCATAAAACTTTCATTATGCTCTTCAAAAATTACACAAGAAAAACTCAACACAACAGATCAAAGGGTAAATAATTACAGCAAAATGACAGGCCAAGGGATATCTTTATTATAAAACATATATGTGGATAAAAAACATATTCAGATCCTAATAAATAAAATATGAAGAGACAACTCACAAAACAGGAGGTAGAGCTGGTAAACACACATGGCGAAATATTCAAATTTCCAGTTATCAAATAAATACAACTTTTTAAAATTGAGATGTTATTTTCACCTATTAACTTAGCCAAAATGTTTAAGTGATAGTAACTAATGTTGACAAGAGTACACGAATATGCCACTCTCAAAAAATTACTTATGGCAGCATAAATGAGCACGGGCATTTTGAAAGACAATTTGGCAATGTGCAATCATATCCAGAGCCATAAATACACTCCCTTCCTTGGGCTCTCAGAAGTGTGACTACAGTCCGTTGTGAGGAAAGAATCTTAAAAGAAGAGAAGCCTGCTCACATGATGTTCTTCACAGGATCACTCATAATACCACTCAAAAAACCATAAACAATCTAAATATCCAGAAACACGGCAATACTCAGGTCAACTATGGTCAAACTGAGATTTGACTAATACA